GCACACCCTGGAAGTGCTAGCCATGAAACCAGAAGTGCCGGCAGAAGTGCACTTCTGGTTTGGGATCCCCCCCGCCATCATCAATCTGGTGCCCCCCCAATCACCCATGGTTGTTTGTGTTCATTATATTCACTAGTGGTGGCATCTCCCAAAGGAAGGCCTGTAGGGACCTGAAACCAGTTAGGCCTGTTGAACTGTTAGGTAGGGGGTGTATCCCAGGAACTGAGTCTAAGACCGAAAATCACAGGACTCTTCCCAAGGGCAGGTGAAGGCAGTAGGCCCAAAATCTGAGAGGGGTGCATATGGGGAGGCTAATGAAGGCATTAGAGATGCAGATGGTCCTGAAGTATGAGAATTTGGTGGAAACATTACAGTATTAGGGCTTTTATTTTTGTGTCATCCTTCCCTTTACTAGGTCACATGATAGAGCCACCTCCTTTCTTCCCCATGAAAGGAAGCTGGGAGCAGGACTGGTGTAGAGACTTTGGGTGAGCTTTTGTGCTGCAGTATTCTAAGAGGCTTTGTACCAGGCTTGCAGCCTGAGAGAGAGGAGGGTAATTTGGCTTTATGTCACCTTAATCCCCACTCATTCTGGGATGTTCCTGAGCTGACAAGGTTCCTGGTGTCATTTATGTCTGCATTGTGGTGTGATTGCAGCTTGCTGAGACACCACTGAGGTAGCTTTAAACAGGCTAACTCAGGAACTGATAGCAGAGCAATTGCAGCAACTGGGCTTCAGTGTGGACTGTACAAGACTGCCTAGGATCCCAAGTAGCTTGAAGCCAGTTCCATCACTACTATAGTACTCAGAAAGGGTCTACATGAGTTGCAATCACATCTTTGGATTGCACTGTAGACATAAAGGCCTGTTTAAGTTACCACAGCTTCCTCAACTGTCTTCCGGGCTGTAGCTCTAATCCCCCGCCAATATACTCCATCTGCCCCCAGCTGCCTGCTATGCCAGGGCTATTGAGAGAACCTGGAAGGACAACTCCTTGGCTATTTTCTATAGCACCTGCATTGTGAAAACTTCTCTGAATCAGAACCAGTGATTTCACATCCCTTTAGGTATTTCTGATCCCTTTCTGTGACATATGTGGGGCAAATAAGAATTGTATCTATTATATAAACTCAGTGCTGGCTAGGACAGGGTCTTGTCAAAGGGATAGTCTGGGTTATCCCATTCTTCCTGACAGAGCAATGTGTGATTTGGGAATTGGGTTTAAGGTGGCTGAATCTGGCATTAAATAGGTGATAAACTGGTTGACAGATTACACATCACTGCCTGACTGTGGAGCAGTGTTAAGGCCAGCTGCACTTTTGTCTTTTGCACTCGGGGCAGTACTGCTTCTTACACAGGTTGAAAGGTATGATTACTAGAAATGGGCAAATGACAGAAATCCCCTTTTTTAGTCAGAACAGAAACTGCAAATGCAAGGAGAAATATAACTGTTAACCAATAACAGTGGCATATCTGACATCACTCATCCAGAAATTCCTCTTTTGTAATGGTTAACTGCCCTCTTTGTAACTCGCAGCAGGGGGTGGTTTTTCCTTCATAGGAGTTAAGATAAAAAGAAAGAAAAATTCCAGTCTGTTTTTTTTATCAGCATGTTGTTGAAAGTACTTCAGAAAATAAAGTTCACTTTGAGCAGTCTCCAGTTTGGAAGAACTAGAAGAGTTTTGAACATGCATGCACCAACCCATGGAGAAAACAGGCCAAATGAATGAAATTAGACTGAATTTGCTGCATTTTCTGTTAATCTTCTGTCAGGCTTTACAATTTCTGCTAGCCAAGGTTTGGTAAAGGTCCAGAGGGATCAAAGTCTTAACTGGTTGATGCGGTGCTTCATTGTGCAGTGTTCTCAATAGCGTTAAAACTGTAATAGAATATCGTGTACTGTGTATTTTTCTGACTTTTAGTAATTTGAGGCTACAAAAATCTTATCATAAAAAACTGCTTTTCCCTGATTGGATAATACATACATTTGCAAATCAATTTCCTCCAATTTTACACACATTAGATCATCCTGGGCTGAAAATAAGCTAGGAAATATAATGCAAAAGTTTATTTGTTTCTGGAAAATTACAGATACTTTTTGACTTCCATGTTAAGGTTTGATACAACTCCCATTAAATCTGTGGGGACTTTTCTATTAACTTTCATAGCAGATGGAGCTGGCCCTTCATCTGTATCTATGTTGTGTGTGTTGCATAGGACTATGTGAATTATTTGACTTATAACACAAAATATTAAGAATAATAATGCTGGTTTTGAGTTCATGGAATGAATAGTTTCTTCTAGTTTTGTCTTGACACTTTCAGTAGATGTCTTATGATGTTTTTGCTCTAAGAAGTCCACAGACTTTATAAAGCTATAGTTTGGGATGTGTTTGGAATTTCAGACTTATTCAGTGGGTGAATTGGGGCAAATCACTTGCTTTCTTTTTTGTCTCAGATTGGCTGGTGTTATCTGAATTGATGAGATGCGTCAACCAAGTTAAAAAAAGCTGTTTTAAGTCTTGTGGGATTTCAGTCATCTCTCAGTAAAATGGGTTATTTCTGACTGTTTGGGATATTATGGCTGATGCCCTAAAATCTTAAGCTTGGGTTTTCAAAATACCTGAAGTGCTCTGCATTGCTCTGCCTTACCTGGATGCTGTAGGTGAGTGTTTTAACTTTGTGATGTCATTGGACCCTTCCCAGGGAGGGAGTAGAAGTTCCTATAGAGCAGAGGTGCATATGGCTGTATCTGGCCCACAGAGCTGAAGTGTTAAGTCCACTGGGCTACTGATGGACCACTAGAAGTTGGGGGTGGGGGGCACGCGTGTGGGGAGGGCACTTGGTAGTAGCCTGCTGCAGGTCCTTGGGCCCCAGTGGGCATGGCTGCTACATGCACTACGCTGGAGCTCTGCTGCTGCCACTGCATGTACTGGGTGGGAGCTGAAGATGCCACCACTGGTGCCAGAGCCACCCTATGCCCTGGGAGGGACCTGTCCTGCAAGGAGTCCCATGGTCTGGATCTGGCCCAGGGCAGGAAATGAGTTTGACACTCCTGCTATAGTGGAACCGAAATAGTATGCCTGGAAGCACTGGGAAGCACATAATTACATATACTGGCAACCGGCCAACATGCACTCAAATTTTTCAAAAGTATATACTTGGAGAACTTGATCCTTGCCAGCCTGATCTATTGCTCATGATAAACCACAGCCCAGTTTTGTTTCTGAATTTGAGTGAGGAGCCAAAGGGCATAAAAGCTTTGAAACGAAGATCCTGTTATGTGAATGTTCTGAATAATTGAAAACAAGGAAATGAAAAACAGTGAAACATGGTATATAAATACAGATTGCTTTTCTACATGGCATTTGCTTTTGTTAGGGTCTGTTCATCATATTAAAGCAAAGTGATTAGTAATAAACAAACACACTAAAGCAGATAATCAAATAAAGTCCTTGTAAGGGATATTGGGACCAGGCTCAGTTAAAAAAAAGAAAAGAAATAATAAGCGTTTGTCTTTCCTACCCTAGTAGTCCCCTTTCATTGGTCTGTTGTGGCTTGTCCTGGCTTCCATGCTGGGACAATTGAATGAGATTTTTAGTGAACTTGCTCTTAAAGGAGTCTAATAAAAAAGTTTACTGTTGGGAGTGAGTAAACTAATCCCATTAAAAAGGGAATCCAGGAAAAGTTGCCAGATGCAAATGAAGGGGCTGGTGCTTTTGTTCAAAGCCTTTTCTCATTATATAGGTTTTTTGTGTTTGTTTTTTTTTTTTTAAAGAAAGCCAAGTTTCCCTGGAGAAGGAAATTTTTTTTACCTCTTTGAAAAGCCTATTGATAATTACATGGCACTTCATATCTTTGATTTCTGTATGAACTTGAAAGTCCAGATAGACTTTGCTCAGAGAAGCAGGCTCATCAACTTCAGAAAGTGATTACAATAAGATTGATCACTAACTGATTAACCCTCTCTTTTTATAATGAACCAACTTTCTGCTGAAGACCTATTTCTTTTGAAATGAGACTGGACAGCAATATTTTATATTGTATGTCTCTTTTGTTTTAGACACTGAGTCCCATCCTCTGGTATACTGTGATACCAGTGCAAGAGGGACAAGAAAACTTGCAGATTTGACCAGGTGGAAATTCTTCCTGCGTAAGCCAAACCCCTGGGTAGCCTGGAGGTGGTATGTCAGTTCTAAGCCATTCTCCATGTCTGTCAACCCCTAGCATATGGGATGTAGCTATAGGGAAAGGGACATATCTCTATGCTCCAGTTATTCCTGGTGACCGAAGCAGGGTCCTGGGGGAATGAGCAGCTGAATATAAGACAGACTAACTCTGAGGCCAACTGCCACTGGCTGGCTCCTGAACAGCTCAGCCGAACCCAAATAATAGAGAGACTGTCTTGCTTTGGACCAAGCAATCTTAATGAAAATATACATCTCGCACCAGGGGAGTCATGTTGCCAACAGCCATGTGTTGGGGAGCAGATATTTGAAGGTCAATTGTCACAGTAAATTCGAAGCATCTTCATAAGGAAAATGCTGTTGGAGGATTTTCTTGTGCTGTGTATCTTGGACGTCTGAACTACTATAAAATACTTTCTGTCCAGGGAATTTCTTCAGCATGGGCAACAATCAGAAAGAGGGATGGGGAGAACTTGGTTCTTGTGCAGCTGTGCCAAGGCAGGGGATTCAAGGGGGTAACCTCTCTGTTACTACAGAGCTCCTGGTGATTGAGGATCATTTGACAGGGGAGGCGATGTTATTTCTTTAACTAACCAGGCATGAGTAAGTACATTTAGAGTCCCCAGAAAACTGTGGCATTGCAGTGTCATGCAGGAGAGGCGGTTACTTGAAATGGTTTCATGAAGCGGAGCCCTATGCAAGGTCATCCCTCCTCCAGCCTCAAGCGCGCACAAGCCCCCACTCTTCCTCTCTGCCTCCTTTTTGGGCGCTCGCTCTCTCCCCAGCCAGTGGCTCTC